ATTTTTAATAAATTCATTAATACAATACTTTCCCTTCTAATTGAATTAAACATAATTTATTATTATCCTTTATTTTGAAATGTCTAAAGATCCTTGTTCAGTATCATATGTTTAATAATGTAATACTATACATGTCAATTTTACAATTAAAAAAATTCTTCCTAGACTACATTAAATGTCAACTAGGAATATTAAAATTACTTTTTCATAATATTTGTTTAACTTATTAAACAGGTCATATTTAATGTTATATACATGTTACTAAATTATTAAACAATCTATTTCCCTCATAAAATTCAGTTTTTATTAGGCATATATTATATTTTTTCAGTATTTTAAGTCCAAAAGAGATGTGGAAAATACTGAAAACCTTGAACAGAGAAATGTTTAAGTAAGTTACTAGGGATTTTTGTATTATATCAACACTTGTTAAAGACATTACGAATCAAATTATTACAGAGGCGGTTCCGTGTTCGACTTTTAAAAAATTTAATAACTTGTGTTTATCTGTTTATACAAAGTACAAGGATATTTTGTGGTGGAAGATGTCTGGCGATATACAAGCAAGGAAACGAAAAGAGAAGAAACGTAAAAAGGGTAAAATATAGGCTACTGAAAGTGTGAGAGAATTATTATAATTTCAATTCTTGTATTTGAAATATTGCTTTTAAATAGTCACTGCCTTTTGCAGTTTCGAAATTACAAATGTATTTCATATAATCGTAGGAGATCTATACATTTAAGAATACAAATAATAACGTTTCTCATTGTTCCTATTGTTTGAAATATATGAATTGCGTTTCATTTTTTTTTGTCATTAAATGAAAAAATCACTGACTTTATTTTGGATAAGAATAGTAGAAAACGATATTACGAATAATAACTAATGCAATATATCTATATTAATTAATTATTACTCTTACGAATTTTAATGTTAAAATACTATACAATGCACATTTAAAAATATTTTCCCGAATTGTATTATTATCTTAATATTTTTACAACGCTAAAAAATTAATCTTTTAAGAATCATATTCACACTTTATGAAGTAACATTTTTTATCTCTTATAATCTTCATTATAGAATAAGCATTATCTTATATGAAAGTTGCATTTTAAATTCATTTTATTGCTAAAGTATCTTATAAAAAAGTTAAATTGAATGTGAAATTTCAGATATTTTGAGGTATATTTGGCAATGTTGCTGAAATTAGAAAATACAGGGTCTTAGAAGCTTGATCAGCCTAGCTTTTGGCTTTTAAAAATAGATCACTTTGTAGTACCCAATTCAAAAACATTTTCTGCTAATGTA